CAGCCTGTTATCAAACCAGCAGCCGAGAGGATGCCAAGGAAAAGGAGTGGAGGAAAGGAGAAGGGGGAGGAGGAGGGTCAGATAAGGAGAAATAACAGGGAAGGGACGATTTCCTCATGTTTTGCCTGAGCAGCTGTGAAAGTGGACAAGAATATGTCAGGATTAGGGAAGCGAGAAAGGGAATAAAGTGCAAACTGGGAACTTGAGTTGGTTGTGAAACAGCAAAGAGGATGGAAGTGGTAAAACAGACAGTTCAAAAGTAAGTGGTTCACAGGGCCTGTATCTCCCAAGCTAACTTAAAGCTGTCATGCAGTGCAGCATAGTTTCCCCCATTAAACTGCACAGTAGAGGATTTAGAAACTTTGGCTGCACTTTGTGGTAATGAACTCTGCTGGACTTTTACCCAGAGAACTGGCTGTAAAGTTAAATGACTGTAAAATCCCAAGATAAAATTACACATGTGAGCACATTAGGGCAGGCAAAGGTCCAAGTAACATACATGTCATAATCAGACAAAGAACCAACATGCTTCCTGCACGTGTCTATAGCGTAGTTTCACAAATAGTCCTTTCTTGGTGTGTGACTGTTTATGTGTGCTTCGAGAAGGGAATATAATCATTCCCATTCAGTGCAGTTTTCCATGTTGTGTATACTTCAAGAACATTTTAAGCTAACAAAGCACAAAACATAGAAAGCTTTTCAACCAAAGTGCTTGTCTGTGTTTAGAGGGTGTGTTGTGCTTTTATACTTGTTAGAAGTGAATGCAGGTCAGACATTGGTTTACCCAGCCGACGTGAATCGTTTTGGTTCACTCGGTGCACCATTTCTCATCGAGTGACAATGTTGTATTTGTGCCAATAGAGGGGATGCATGCTCTATTACCTCTACTGAGGCACATCCTTACTTTCTTAAATGATGTGTGAAATGCTACATGGAATTTGTGATGATAAATATAGAGTAAATAATCAGCTGCCTCGCCAGTGACTCCCTCATCTTAGGAAGAAGCTAACGTCATCTGTGGTTGGGAAACACGAGATGGCAAGGACCACAGCTCAGGGTTAGCTTAGGGTTCTGTACAATCATCCCCTGTGAGTCGCCATTAACTAAAAATGGAGGAATGGGTTAAGGTGCATCTATTAAGTATTGCCATCCACCCATTGTGATAAGCACTGTGTGGCCCAAATACAAAAAAACAGCAGCAGTGAGAGAAGTTATATCCCTCTTGGTGAGTAGGTTAGCAGGAGAGCCAGGTTCACATCTAACAATGAATGATTTAGCCTACTGTGATGAATAATGAATAAAGCAGATTCATCCGAGTGAACATACAGTATATCAGCTGAACAGTATTAAGTTATCATATTATTATCAATAAATTTATTA